AATTTAATTATTCATTTAAATCATTCTTTAAATGAAATTATTTTTTTTTTGAACAATGAAAAATTTTTTCAGAAAAGGGGAAAAGGAACTTTGAATTAGAACCCAAATCTTGATAATTCTAAGCACATCCTGTAACGAGGGGTCAATATGCCACCAAGTGCTGGAAAATGAAATTACTCTTTTGTTACTAGGCAAAAAAAATTATAATATTAGTAATTAATGACAAAATCAATAAAGAAACCTATTTAATTGCCTAAACTACAATATACTATAAAATAGAAACTATTGATGGAAAAGGGCCCTAACAACAAAAGGCTTCAGTTTACTGCCGGACACTTCTTCTAATCAAATTGAAGTTGAAGGATGTTTTTGGTACTTTCTGAAATTTAAGGATGAATTAGTTCAAAAATAAAAGTTAAGGGACCAATTTAAGTATTTAACTTAAAAAATATGTTCGCCACGACCGCATCACTATTCAATTAATCCTTAAATCGAAAAAGTTGAAAGATGACATACTTAAATAGAAAATGTTAAAAGTTGACATCTTTATTTAGAAACTGACAAAGTTAACATCTTTATTTAGAAAAAAATTGAAAGTTGACATTCTTATTTAGAAACTGATAAAATTAACATCTTTAAATAAAAAAAGATACAAAATTAAAATCCTTATTTGCACCTTTACTCTAAATGCGGCATCGCTGGCAATGTTAAAGTGTAAAATTAGTGTCTAGATGGCACTGAAGTGTAATTAAAAAACGGAGGCGTTGCAAAGTGTAAAATTAGTGTCCAGGTGGCACTGATGTGTAATTGGAAAACGGAGGCTTAACGTGCATTTGCTGCACTTGACTATTGACGTTAATATTTGGTTTATTTACTTAAATTATATATTTTAATTTTGTAAGGTGAAGGGTAAAAACCTTTAAGCTCAAAAAGTTAAGGGGCAAAGTATGGGTTTTTGCCATATTTTTCTTGGATCGCCTATAAATATTTGTTTTTTGCAGCTATACTTTTCAGATTTCTGGATACAAATGACTACAGACTTTTGCATTTGAAAACTCCAGATTCTCATTCCAAAGAAATTTTTATTTCACATCTTTTTGTTTATATATGAGATTTTGGAAGGTTTTGTTTGGAACTGTAAGAAAAAGTTAATTTTAAGATGAACACTGAGATAGCTTTTTCGGTGTTAACATCTGTTTAAGGATTTCTAGTTTTAGTTTCTTGCAGTTCGAATTTCTCTCTCCATGGAAACAGAGAGCTTCTTCCTCCCACCGCCCATGAGATTCTGATGCTTCCAACGGTTAGTGTCGATGCCTTTTATTTATTTTTTAATGCTAGTTTTGTTTGCTTTTCTAAATCTATTTAGGTAATTAATTGTTGAAGCTAGCAGTTTCGAACTTCAATTTTTATATATTTACAATAGTTTCCTTCATTTTGATGTAAATTATTTAAGCGGTTTCACCTGTTCTTCTTTCTCCATGGTTCTTTGTGCCTTTTCCCCCCATTTATCTCGCATATTTTTCACTTTCATTCTCTCAAACTAAACCTCTTATGTCTATTGGCTCATTTTATTTGTTTGATTATTTTATTAATGGAGGAGGAAGATGAAAGGGTGGTAGCCTCTTCCATCTTTTGGGTACAAATGGTCATAGACTTTTGGATTTGAAAACTTTAGATTCTCATTCTAAAGAAATTTTTAGTCCACATCTTTTTGTTTATATATGAGACTTCGGAAGGCTTTGTTTGGAACTGTAAGAAGAAATTAATTTTGAGATGAACACTGAGGTAGCTTTTTCAGCGTTTAGATCTGTTTAAGGATTTCTGACTTGAGTTTCTGGCAGTTCGAATTTCTCTCTCCATGGAAACAGAGAGGTTCCTCCTCCCACCGCCCATGAGATTCTGATGCTTCCAACGGTTAGTGTCGATGCCTTTTATTATTATTATTTTTTTGGACAATGATAGGCTTACCTCTGCTGTTACACATCAATCCACACACTAACGGAATCCGTCAACTACACTAACCGTCTCCGTTAGACACCTAACCCCTAAAGTTCTCCATCTTCTTCAAATCTAGAGAGTGCTGGGTTTCTTAATCTTGCTGTCATTAACGTAAGAAGCAAACATCCAACCAAAAAAAGTGTCCGACGTTGCCTGTTGCTGCCAACATTCCATCTTTTTTGGAGCACCCATTAGACATTTTCAACAATGCACAAAGAATTCAAAAGAAATTTCCAGCAACTCACAACAAATAAAAAAAAATAAAAAACCAAAATAAAATCGTTTGAAATTAGGAAAAGACAAGAACCCGGATTGGGTTCTCACGGCGAGAACCCAGTCTCACAGTGAGAACCCGATTTGGGTTCTCACGATCGGGTTCTCACCGTGAGAACCCAGATCCCGTGAGAACCCACGGGTTCTCCAAGAGGGGGGAAGAGAAGGAAGAAGAAAAAGAAGGAAGGAGGAGGGAAAAGAAGGAAGAACTGGGTAATCACCTACTAGAATTGCTTCTCGCCATGAGAACCCAGTGTCACGGTGAGAACCCGATCTGGGTTCTCACGATCGGCTTCTCATCGTGAGAACCCATGGGTTCTCCAAGAGGGGGGAAGAGAAGGAAGAAGAAGAAAAAGAAAGGAGGAGGAGGGCAAAGAAGGAAGAACCGGGTAATCACCAACTAGAATTGCAGGTTTTGTTTGCACTGATCTTAACCTCTGAGGAGAGTAAACAAGCTAGAGTGAAAGGAGAGGAAAGAGAAAAAAAGACTGGGTAACAAACACCGTCAGTTTGCATAACGAAAATAGTTAGGTTGTAATAAAATGTGTAACGTTAGAGTGTGTGTATATTTTTATCTTATTTTTTTAGTGCTAGTTTTATTAGCTTTTCAAAATCTATTTAGGTAATTAATTGTTGAAGCTAGCAGTTTCGAACTTCAATTTATATATATATACAATAGTTTCCTTCATTTTGATGTAAATTATTTAAGCGGTTTCACTTGTTCTCCTTTCTCCATGGTTATTTGTGCCTTTTACCCCTATTTATCTCACGTCATTTTTCGCCTAGTGTCTCACACCCATTTTCGCCTAGAAGGACGTCCTATTTATTCTCTCAAACTGAGGTGAAAATCTATAGCCAGCCCTTCACCTCACTGATTATAAGAGTATCAGTCCTTCAACTTATAATATAAAAGTTTTAGCCTCTTATCTTTTCAACCTAAATAAAAAAAAAAAACCTAAAATAAATTATGATGTTGTGTGCTTATTAAAATTGTGTGCTTATTAAAATTCTGTTACCGATTGCCATGTTAACACTAACATGGCAATTCCTTGCCATTATGACTATTACTATCTTATAGACACAGTTTTCCATTTTTTTTAAACTCGGTAATTAAAATTATACTTAATCTAAAAATTTAACCTAACTCAAATCCATTCACTATGAGTAAGGTCATCAGTTTAAATATCTAAAATATCAATCTAAAATCAAATATAACTTAAATTAAAATTACCCAAACTCAACTGAATTAAGTTAGAATTGAATTAGGTCAATTCAAAGTGATTCAATTAGTTAATTATTTTTTTAAAATTTAAAATTTTAATTAATCGTACTTTTAATTTTAATTTTATTATTTAATTTTAATTTTTTAAGTATATAATAAAATTAAATATTATAAAATGATTATTATTTATTAGATTATTAGTATTAATATTAATTTAAAAGATTTTTCAACTAAATAATTAATTAATATTAAATTTTTTAAATATTAAAAATTTTTAATTTTAATTTTAATTTTTTTTAAAGTTAGGTTCATTTGACTTAATTGGAGATTTGTATAGGTAAATCATGGATCTATTTCTTTAACCCAAAATTCAAAATGACTAAACCCATAAATCCAAAATATGAGAGCACCTAATTTGAACTCATTTACTTTGATATGTTTGTTAATTCTAACTTTTACTGTTTATAATGACAATTCATAATGGCAAGAAATTGCCATGTTGGTGCTGATGTAGCAATGGGTAACAAAATTTTAATAAGTACACGGTACTATCATCCATTCTGAGTATTTTTTATTTAAGCCAAAAAGATGAGGGATAAAATTTTATATTATAAGTTGAGAAACTAGGACTCTTTCCTGTTCAACAAAGTGGAAGGCTGGCCATAGATTTTCGCCCTCAAACTAAACCTCTTATGTCTATTGTCTCATTTTATTTGTTTGATTATTTTATTAATGGAGGGAGGAAGATGGAAGGGTGGTAGCCACCTCTACTCGTTTGTATTTCATTCCTTTAGATTAGAAGTCGCGATGTGATGGCTTAATCTTAAGTGTTTTTTTTTTTTTTTAATTTAAATAAATAATATATAAATATTTAATTTTAATTATTTATTCAATTAATAAAATTAAAATTTTATTAAACATATAAAATGCATTTCATTAACATTCCTTACCTAATATGCACTTCAAGATTAATTTATTTTTATATGATCTTAAAATATACTTCACATTAGTGTAGTATATTTAATAAAATTAATTTTTTTATAAAATTAAATTTATTTATAAATTTTCGTAAGCATTCACTATTTTCATTAACATTCCTCACCTTGTATGCACTTCAAGATTAATTTATTTTTATGTGATCTTAAAATATACTTCACATTAGTGTAGTACATTTAA